AAACTTCTAATGAGGCCATGCCAAGGATTTTTGTAGACCTTCAATGCCTTGAGTTACTCACTTTATTGCTTAGCTCCGGAAAAGTGATGCTTTGATAAGGGAAGGACTGGTCGTCGACTATGTGCCAGTGGAGAACATTAAACTTATTAAAAGCCATGGCATCCTGCAAGAAAAACAGGTGAAAATCACACACCGTGAAGCTCATACACCACCGTCATCACACACCTGCATCTGAGGCTGCTTCGCATAACGTCTGAGAAGCAATCTTTGGCAAAGAAGGATACCACAAATTGGGTAAGTTCTCCTCTACACACAGTCTCTGCAGCGTGTTCCCACTCCCTGAGCCTACTCAGATCGAATGTGTTCCAGAGGGCACACGGCAGCCCGCTCCAGGGGAGAGCGAGCTTAGGGTGGTCCTGGCACGCAGCAGCTGCCAGCAATGGAAATAGTGCTTAGCTGCAACTGTTTGAAGAAAGAACAGAGGGAAAATAGGCCACTGATTTAAATGTCAAGGTCTGTAATTCCCCACAGTTCTGAAATGTGAATGAAAATCCTTAAAAATGAAAAAAAAATTCCTTTACAAACTCAAGTTTCATCAAAATCCCCAGAGAAATTTTTAGGTGAGGTGATGTACTGATTTAATGTACACCCTTGAGGAGCAAACAATATTTTTATAAGATATAAACAGATACTTGAAAAGATAAAAAAAATAAGGGAGTAGATTTGCCACGCCAGATAATCGAACTCCAGAGCTTCCCTCGCCCTCCTCAGAGCTGAGGGACTTGGCAGAGGCAGTTGGGAAACAGCTTCCACACTAAGGGCCGAGTCAGTAAATAATTCAGAAAAACAAAACGGTGCTCGCTGGCTGAGAGGGACATACACATGCGAGGCAGTACTGGGAACTGGTGGGTGAGTTTTGAGTATAGTTGGGACAAGCCAAATGGGGTGGTGCATGCCCATAATTGCAGCACTCAGGAGGCTGAGGCAGGGGGATCCTGATGAGCCGGAGCCAGCCTTGGCTACAATAGGATGTTTAAGACCAGCCTGAACTACATAGCAACACCCTGTTTCAAAAAACACAACCAAAAATGGGGAGATAGCTCAGTAGAATAAACACCTGCCTGGCTAGCACAAGGTCCTGAGTTCAATCCCTGGTACCACAAAAAAAAAAAAAAAAGTATAGTTGGATGAATACACACCCCAAGGTGTGGCAGACTACCTCAAGGGCTGGAGAGGAGACATTTCAGCTTTCAAGCCACACAATTTGTTATGGTTACTCCAGTCCAGCTGTAGAGTAATGCAATACATAAACAAATATATGTGGCAATAGCCCAATACAATAATCTGCCAAGGTAGCTGCTGGTGATGTATTTAGGGGGCGGGGTGTGCACACTGCCTGGTTCTCAACTCCTTCCCAAGGCAAGCTAAAGAAACTAGAATTTCTCTTCCCCCAGTGGGTCATAACCTTAACCACTTTCTGCCCTGGAGCTGGCCCTGGAGGAATTCTCTTCTGTGCCATGTGGTGGTGGCCACAGCGCCCCTCAATCCAGAGTCTTGCACACGCCTCAAGAGGAGAGCGCTGCATGGAGACAGAGAAGCCTGGCAGGTGCTGCAGCAGACAGACCCGCAGGGCACCAACCCACTCTGCCCAGCCTCCTCCTCACAGGCGGCCACACTCTCATCATGCCTGGCAATGGAGTCCCCATCAAAACCCAAAGGACAGGGTCCTGAGCGCTTCTACACTGCATGCCAGTAGGTCCCTGGAGGGTGCTGTGCCCAAGAGGGTGTGGGGCTCCCCAACCTCCCATAGCTCAGCCTGTTCAGTTCTTCATCTGTGTCCCTTATAGTAGCCTTTGTAGTAAGCTGGTAGATGTGTTTCCCGAGTTTTCGAACCCAAGGACAAATCCAAGGAGAACCTGGATTTGTAGCCAGTGGGTCATTACCATGGGGAAAGGATCCTATGCTTGTGATTGGATCTGAATTCAGGGCAAGTGGACAGTGAGGGACCGAGCCCTCGGTCTGTGGTATCTGGCACTGTTTCCATGCAGCCTACATCAGAGCTGAGCTGGTTTAAAGGACACCCAGCTGTTGTCCCCTCAAGTGGCTGCTTCTGATGGGGAGGAGGCCACAGGAGGAGGTCACAGGCGGGGTCTGGTGTGGCTTGTGTTGTAAGATCAGAAGGAAAACCTGCTTCCTTTTTCCCGACACAGGATGATGAAATGGATTTGGCAATAGTTTGCAAGGATAAAGGGGTAAGGAGAGATGGATGGTGTGTGTATGTGTGTAAATGTTTGTGCCGAAGGACAGACATGCACTCTTTCTAGCTGTCTGCTGGGGGCCTAGCAGTACAATACGCTGGTGGGAATGAGCACACCTCCAATTCAAATTTGGAATTCAAAATATCATCATTCACTACCGGAAGGGTTGCTACAAGAAAAGCCTGAATCCAGACTGGGATGGCAAGCTAGGCCTGGTGAGTCACACACCACAAAGAAAGGCAGTTCTCAAAGACTGAGGGGGTCGTGCCAAAGGAGGCAGGAGCTGGCCAGAAGGACTCCAGCTGGCCAACGCGAACCATCTGACTACCAAACGGGGAGGGTAAGAGCTCACAACGCACTGAACGAAACAGTAATCCACAGTGATGAAAATAATGAGTGCCTCAGCACAAAAGGGGACGTTCTGCCAGCGAGTCAGTGACAGAGGGAATGATGGGCTTAGGAACAAATCACGCGGCAGCTATCTTAGTTACAGCTGATGTAGACAAGTGGCTGTGTCTGCCACAATGAGCAGGTAAACATTGGGTGAAGAATGGAGATTTTAAGTAGTCTCAGAATTTCTCCTCATGAGACAGCCTTCTGTTAGCAAGCACAAGGTACTGTGCATCTAACTTTACAGCGGAGAAACGTGGCTGATGACATCTTGGCCAAGTCATCAGAAAGCACCCGGCACTGGCCCGACTGCACTGAAGGCACAGCGTGGCCCCTGGCTCGCAGTGCAGGGCGAGGACCACCGTGTGGAACACAGCAGCTACAGCCTGTCCTACGAAAGCTCGCCTGTACTCTTCAGAAATGCCGGTGTCCTAAGCCAAGGAGGGACAGGCAGATCCAGGCTCCAAGGAACCAACGAGACATAAGTGAGTGCAGCCCTGGTCCTGGAGGGAGCACCAAGCCTCCAGCGGCTGCTGGGGAGCAACCGAGGCCATCCGAATGGGGTCTGTGGGTACAGGGTGGCACTGAACCGGTTTGATCTTTTTTTGGTTTGGTACTGGGAATCGAATCATCCTTGCACTTGCCAGACAGGCGCTGTGCTGCTGAGCTCTAGCCATATCCCAATTTCTTGACTATGGTGTTTGGATCAAAGCTCTCTGGAGATGTATCTTTTGCCTGGAAAGTTCAGACTGAAATATTAGGGGGTATTATCATAAGTGCCCATGTGCAACTAGAGGTAGACAAGTGGGATATTTTTTTTTTTTTTTGGTGGCGGAACGGAGGATTGAACTTAGACCCTTGTGCTTGCCAGGGAAGCACTTATTCCACTGAGCCATCTCCCCGGCCCTAAGTCAGATATATTAAATTTTTACATAAATGTCTACAAATTTTAAACTGGAGTGTCTTGGTAAAAAGCATATAAATTTCTCTGTATTCTTCTAAACAAATATAAAAATTAGCCCAGAAAAATAAAATAAAATAAAATAAAAATTAGCCCAGGAGTAGGGGTGCACCTCTGTGGTAGGGCACTCACCTAGCAAGCTCAAGCCCCAGCACCCCTCAAAATAAATAAGATTTCTTTGAAGGAAAAACAACTAAAGCTACAGAAATTAAAACCACCTGTACACTTCTAAGATGATGAACTTGTAAAGACACAGAGTTCTGAAAGTGACTTGTCTTTATGGCAAGTCAATTAAATTTATTATATCTGACTTTTCTACCTAAGTTGCATGTGGGCACTTATGATAATACCCCCTACTATTTCAGTCTGAACTTCCCAGGCAAAAGATACATCTCCAGAGAGCTTCAACCCCGAACACCATAATCAAGACATTGGGCCGTGGCTATAGCTCATGGTATTGAAAGCAGGGGAAAATTATAAGCAAATATGAAAGTACCAGTGACACAATCTACAGACACGTGAACGTGCTAGAAAACGAAATGGACCTAGTAACTACAGACTGCTCTCATTAGCAATTTTAATTTGTAAAAAATCTTAATTAGGGGCCGGGGAGATGGCTCAGTGGAATAAGCGCTTCCCTGGCAAGCGCAAGGGCCTGAGTTCAATCCCCAGTTCCGTGAAAAATAAATAAATAAATAAATTGTTTTAAAAAGTTTTAAAAAAATCTTAATTAAAAAAAATACAAAAAATCTAGTAAAAGAAGCTTATGGTTGGGTGGCAGGTAACCGTGGGGAGGAGCCAATAAAAAGCCCTTAGGAGGGCTGGCCAGATAGCTCAGTGGACCAAAGTATGTGCTTAGAAAGGTGCAGGGACTGGGGTTCAATCCCTGGCATGCTGTGCGGGCCCCGCCCCCACGGTGCACTGAGATAGTGATTGAGACTGGGCATGGTGGTACGTGCCTATAATCCCAGAGCTTGGGAGGCTGAAAACAGGAGGATCACTAGGAGTCTGATCTGTGTAGTAAGACCCTGAACTAAATACATTTAAAAAAACAAAATCCTTAGGAAGATAGTGTCAGCCCTCTCTGTCACTCGCTCCACTCTGCTGGGGCACATGTGCCTCTGGGATATTTGCCTGGGAACTAGGCAGCTCCCAAAACCCTGTCTGTGCCACTTTTTAAAAAGCGAAGGTTATAAAATCGGAGGATACTGGCCAGATGTGCAGTGGCCAACACATTATTTGACAAAGGAGTATAGGAGGGCGATGGCAGTATGAAATCTGTCATTCTCTTCACAACCTTGGCGACCACAGGTCTGGAGGCCTCCCTCAGGGGCCTGCCTCCAGGCGCCTCAGTCAGCTGAGGAAAGGCACAGCCCTCCCTCAGGAGACGGAGGCAGAGTGCCGTGGAGCACCTCTACCCAGCCTTTCACAGCCTCCCGCTCCAACCTGCATGACAGCCACATAGGCAGCACGGTAGGCCCAGACCTGAGTGATTACCTACCAGAGTTTTAAGGATACTCTTAAGCGGCAAGTAGTGTCTGGATGTATCAATTAAAATCCCTCGATGAGGAAACCTTGGAGAATCGGTAATGTTGGCTTCATTAACAGTAAACTACAAAACAGAACTTTTATTTAGTTTTAGCCTTTTAAGTTGAGTTCACTGAAGACTACAATTGTCTCTACAAGAATTAGACAAGAGTGGAACAATAAAAAAAAAAAGCATGAAATTTACTTTGGCTGCTAAGATAAATACTTAAGGCAAAAAACCCTTCAGGAAGCAATAGCTAAAGGGAATACATTTTTATAATAGTAATATGTCTAATGAGTTTTAGTAACATAATGATCATACTTACAGCCCCAAAAGAATCTTGATAAACTAACTGGCTAAAAGTCTCTAAACCTGAGGAGAGTAAAATTTATTCCATTAATTTATGAAACTACAAATGGAGACAATAAAGTTGTACTATTCAAACAGATACATCA